ATTCCTTTTCCAGATCTCTAAGCCCTCCCAGTTGGCCAAGTAAGATGGCCATATCCATTCCCTGAGTCATGGTAGGGATGGCTACCTCATAAGGACACGCGTTTGAGAATCCTACCTTCCCATGTTTCCGTACTTTCTTCATACATCTTTTGAGCTTCTCATGACATTTCACATTATTCAGCCCTGAAAAATAATGTGAGGTGAATAATATATATAAAATATCTAATAAATCACAAAACTTTTTAAAATATTTTGGTGATGTGCATAGTTTGTTCAGCTTTCTTAATATCTAATTAATTAACTATTTTTAAGGGTTCATTTCATGTCTATATGTATGTATATATGTATGTATATATGTATGTATATATGTATGTATATATGTATGTATATATGTATGTATATATGTATGTATATATGTATGCATAGGAATTACATATATCACTTTTGCAAAATAAAAACAGTGATTGTATAAAAGATTTGAGTGGTACAAATGTACATTAGAAATCCTAGGCATTAGACATATGAATGCATAGGAATTAAGTGATTTGTCAGCTCTTAACATTTTTCTCGCAGCCAAGAAATTAGCACAAAACTCTTGTGAAAGTTCAAAATTGGAATATTTCGTTTGCCAAAGAAGCACGCCACAAATAACCTTGACAAGAGAGACCAAAATCCATACATGCATATACATAAAATATTAGAAAAAAACTACACATATTTATGTCTAACAAAATGTTTATACATGTAAACATATAAAATCTGAGATAAATCTGAATATAATTTCTTAAATTTAAGTTTTATACATGTACATACACAAGTATTTGAGAAAATCTGCACATAAAAATGTGTTGGATGAAGTGTTATACATGTAAATACATAAAAACCTGCATATATATGTTTTTGAAGTGAAATGTTTATGCATGTAAACGCTTAAAATTTAAGAGAATCTGAACCACATATATTTTGAAGTTTATGTTAGGATTTTAAAAAATCTGTGATTTATATGTTATGCATAAACATAAAAGGTTTCAAAAGAATTTGTAACTGATGAATCATATGAATATATATATATATATAGACGCACACACAGATTTGTAAAATGAGGTGTTATATGAGTAAATACATAAGATTTAAAGCAAATTTGAAATTTAACACATCATTTTGGGTATTAGATATGTAAATATATCAAGATTTAAGTTATATATATTTTATAGAATGAGATGTTGTACATATAAATACATAAGTATTAAATAACATGTGGAGTTCTTATAAGCATTTGAATGATATGTATGTAAACCTCTAAAAATTTGTTATCACATATGTCAAATTCATAAAAATTGTTAGCACGTATATGTCAACTTCGAAACACAATTGTACAGATATTAAAAATTTATCAAGGAGGGTTGTCAAATGAAGCCTAGAAGTTCTCTCTGGCTGTGCAAACTAACCAAAAAAACATAGAGAAAATCAAACTCAAAATCCCTTTAATATGAACTTGTCACCTCCCAAAAGAGCTCTAAAGGGTGGTGGGCAGCCCAGAACTTGAATACTGTTTTTCGGCCCTACACCTAGTCGATGTGGGATTTTTTGTTCGTGACATTCTCCTCCACCCAATCACGTGAAGCCCTCGTCACGGATCGACTCCACTGAGGGTCCCACTGGACCATAGAGAGTCCACACACCTGGCAGGCAGTGAAGCATAAATGAAACTAAAATTTAATTCGAAAGATATTTTCGATCAGTTTTCTCACAAGAATATATGACCAACAAAACATAATAGAGTTTTCTAAAATCAATAGGGGCTACTTGGTTTAAAAATGAAGGAGAAGATTTTTTACGGTTTGGCAAGAAGAATCATGATAATCCACTTTGTTCTTGGTTTTGCCATGACTACAAGACTAATTTTACTTTCTTAAATTCAGCATTTCAAGAATCTCACATTAACCTTATTCTGAATAAATGCATAATCACTCGCACCTTTTATTTTATTTTTTTTCTGCCATCCATGAAACAATTGTTTAGATAACTTGACACAAGGAGGTAAAGTTCCAGAAAAAGGTTTAATGCACCTAACAAATATATATATAAATAAGATATGAGATAATAGAATGAAACTGCATACTGGAATGAGAAAGCTAAGGTGTGTCTTCTGCCTTGAAATCTATCTCAATTGGCCATGGACCTTCACATAAACCCCATGGTATGACTCATAAGGCATTTCAATAGTGTAGAACACAAATAAGTATGCTTTCTCTCATAAATCTCACCAAGAACATCTAATTCACACACAAGAGATGGTTTTGGCGAAACCAAGAGAGGGAGCAGGGCATATGCAAGGGGTTCGAGCAGGAGGGGAAGTAACGAGGGATTTAGGAATGTGGCTCCTCCTCTATGATCGGTGTGAATGAGGAGACTCTAGCCTTCTCATAATCAGGAGCTTATGTTAAGATTTTTTGTTTTTTTAATGGGATTTTGTCACGTGTTTTTTGCACTTAATGTTTTGGATTCATCTTTGACTTCCATTGAACTTGGCTTAATTTGAATGAGATGGATTTACCTTTGATTTGTCTTGAATGAAATTTCAATGAGATTTGCTTTGCTTTGATTTGATTTGTTTAATAAAATGAATCTGTTGTAATTTTGGGTTAAAAGTGTTTAGGATTTAATTAATTAGGTGAATTTGGATCATGACATAGATTAGTGGCTTAATTCGTGAAAATTAATTATTTAAAAGTTTTGTAACCTTATTTTATTTCAAATTAATTTTAATATCTATTATTATAATTTTATTAATCGATTTCTATTTTGTCATTTTAATGAAAATTTTGGTGGTTTTGGTTCCTTTTTATTTGGATTTTGGCTTTTTTTTTATTTAATTTTTATTTTGACTTTCAGATCAATTTTTTTGCCATGTGATTTTTATTTCTATTTTCAATTTTCAATTTTGATGAATCAGTCTTAATTTTGATTTTATTTTGAAGTTCTAATGAATTTTAATTTTATTTTATTTCAAATTTGGGGTTGATTTGATGATTTTATTTAAATTTAATTTCTTTTAATTTTAATTTAAGTTTATTTGATGATTTCGGTGAATTTGTATTTTTTTCTTTCACTTTAATTTCAATTTTGACTAATTCATAATCTTGATTTCAATTTTACTCTAAATTTATAATTTTGTTAAATTCATTTTTTGATTGGTACACTTTATTTTACCATTTCTTTTATTAAAAGATGAATCCTGTCTTGGCACAAGGTAAGCCTAATACCCAATAGGCTCTTTAAACTAAAGAGAAAATTATCTAAGGTATTTGTGAAGGAAATATGTAAAGTGAGAGCTCTCTAGAGTCAAATGGTCGCTTGAGGCATTTTCACTCCTATGGGAACTAAACTCTGAGTCTCAAATAAATTAACTGAAACCAGCTCAACCAAATGTCAAGGATTTGAAGTCAAGCGTATGAACCACAATGAGTTAAGAGATGTTTGAAATTCTAGCTTGGTATTGGTTCCACCACTAATCTTCTAGAAGAGCCGCTAAGGAAAACAATAAAGCTAGATCCTAAGCTCTAGAGAGAGCTATCATAAGATAAACCTCACAAAAAAATAAGGTCAACAATTCTCTCACACATTCTCAAAGCCCAAATACCATAGGAAGAAACTACATAATTTTGATTGAGTCAGTTTTGATAAGAGGCTAACTATGTCAAATTGGTCAAACCGCATCCAATGTAAGTGGATTCTTCCACACATTCTGAAAGCCTAAACACCATAAGATGGATGAAGATGGAGATTTAAGAGGCCTACTGTTGGAGGATTCATGATTTAAGAGCTACGAGTGACAAGGGATAGAGATCAAGATAGCAGCCAATCAAACAAAGAATGGTAAGAGCTCACTTTTGTTTTTATTTTTTGTATTTTTTTAGCTTATATTGAAAAAACATGTTTGTCTTAGTACATTTTTTGTGTGTTTTAATTTTTATTTTCAAATATAAATTTGACTACTTTTAAAAATACTCAAAAACATGTAAAAGATATTTTGAGTCTTTATAAAAACAACCAAGTGTGTCATAACATAAAAAGCATATTTTATTTCAACTTCAAACATATAAAAAAACAAAATAAAAGACAGAGCAACAACAAAGCCTTAATCCCACTACGTGCGGTTGGCTACGTGAATCCTTTTTCTCCATTGAATCCTTTTATTTTGTTTATAAAACAAAATAAAAGACAAAAAAAATAAAAACCCCAAATGGCCCCTAAGAGCATGATAACCTTTCACAATAATCAAATGAGGATGAAGAGAGAAGTCAATCACTCAAGAGGAAAAGAAAGAAGCAATAATTTTATCTCAATTTTCATCAAGCATCTCCTTATTACAAGCATCACCAGCTTCATAAAAATCCCACAATTCCAAATAAATGAAATAAAGCATAATACAATATGAACATGGCAAACTATTAATCATTCTTTTTTATAAACTTCATTGTAGAAGGATTGACACCTTATAATGCACTCACATCAATATGTGTGCCCAAAGCCACCAGACAGATCTTATTCGGGACATTCCTTCCTAAGGGATTATTAGAGCTACAGTTTGAGTGGATTGGATCATTCCACATTTCAAATTTGAATGAAACACTTCCATTAGAAATTTGATTGCCTTCCATGCAAAAGGAAAACTCAAACAATTCGTACAAATTGATGTCTAGAAATAGTTCCTAGATCAAACAAACAAGATTATTAACACTAAATGGTTTTTAAAAACAAGCTTAATCATTCCAACATGATTGTTACTAAAGCCATAATCTGAAGTCAATTCAGCTTTCGTCAGTGCTTTAATTTCATAATTTCTTGGGAATTTTGTGAACCCAACAATCTACAGGTTAAACAATAATCACAGATATTACAAGTAATATCACATGAAACTCAACATAGCTAAATAACTATATAATTCAGTAATTCAATTTCACGATAAATAAAAATAAATAACCTGCTTTTCCTACACATTCATCATGAGCCATGCAACAAGCATCAAGATCATCGCAGGGCTTCTCTCCAGGGCAACCACTCCACCCTACACCACAGAACTTTCCATATCGAATTCCAAAAGCTGACACATCACAGGAAAATTAAAGAAGATTTTGTCAGTCTTCTGAATTGCTCGGTATTTTATTCTAGGAAGAATTTAAGCAAGATAGATTGAATCCTATCAAACAGAACTTATCGAAATTTTAATCCAACTGCTTTCACAAATCCTAATTCACTCGTTATTGCTTAAATCCAATATTTGTTAAAGAGTTTCTCCTCTCATAGCTCCTAAATCCAGAAACAAACAGTCAAACAACTTTTTAAGAATTTAATCTATTAGAGATATCTGGATTTGTAATATCTATTAAATCCTGCTTAGTTATACCCAGCTGTAGCGAAACAGCCCTTAAAAAAAAGCGAGGTTAGAAACCCCAAACAGAAGAAAACAAAAAGGAAAAAACTCACTGTCACAATTCTCCGCGACGCAATATCTACTGCAACTTCCCTGCAAATATTACAGCAAAATGACATAAACTTGAGTCCACGACTCTTTATGAGGAAACCCTACCGGAAAAGAAAAACAATCATGTGTAAGAAAATCTTTGAATAAGGACCTCGACTTTAGGAATGGCCTCATCATTCCAGGCGTTAACGAAGCTCATTAGGAGGAGAAACCAGGGGAGGAACAATAAATCGCGCGGCCTTGCGAGCTCGCCCGCCATTGTCGCCCTTCTCCTCCCGCCTCCCCAGCCCAATGCTCTAAAGGCCGGCTTATATATGCTTAAATCCTGCGTAAATCTCACTTCTAAATTTAGGGGCATTTACATACATAGCCGACATATCTTATGTATTTAGAAATCTCACTCCTAAACTTTCATGTTTACATACATAACACTTAAGGGCTGTCTTGCAACAAATGAGATTTAAGTTATTAAGATTTAGTAAACCCTGTAAACCCGGATTTGCTAAATCTTGATTGGATTAAAGTCGAAAGAAAATCTGTGTGTCAACAGATTTACCAAGACTTGTAAATTCGATAGAATTGTTTGGCAATTTTAATGAGAATTTAGAAAGTAATTATGGTCACTGATGGAAACAATCAGAAACCCGCGAAGTTAAATCTCAAGCCCCTCAAAATTAAATCAACTGATTCGTAGAATTTAGGATTTACAGCCGAAATTCGCGGAATTCGGATTTACGGAGTCGCGGGATTTATTTTGCACAAAATGATCATCTAGCGGAGTTCAACTTAATTCTTGCGTAAATTCGGCATAAATATGTTGCCAGACAGCTCTCTAATGGAAGATATTATTGATTTAGTTCTGCAATACGAGGTTTATTACTTATGGGTTCATATTTGATGATATGTAATGAAAATTTTATAATAAAAATATAATTGTGGTGTGAGAGATCATTTTAGTTGGTGAAGATAGAATATTATGGTTTGACATGCATTTTAATGAGATAAATTTGATAACTATGAGAGGTCATTGTGTTTTAGCATAGATTGTGACTAAAAGAGATTAAGAATTGTTGTTATTGTTTGATGAGATAGATTGTTGTCATGAGGTGCTCCTATAGATGGCTTGTTGAAGAATGAGAGTCTCATCTCGGAGATAACAATAAAGGCTAAGCGTAGACTCAACCAAGTTAATGTCAATCGATATCTAATACATTTTCTTAGTTCCTATCTTGAATATGATTGTGCTCAATCATCAACATCATCGTTTTTTGAATAAGTGATGCGTTCTATTTATCATTCATGAAGATAGTATGATAATTTGAGAATAATGTGAATGAGTTATTATACATATTATTCTTTCGAATTAGCAAGGACACAACATTTCAACTGCAAGGAATAATAATACTAACCACTAATCTTTACACGTAAAGGTAGAGCATCTAACAACTATGGGAAAACGTAGCATCACTTTCATTCATAGAATTACTTGGCTTATTTTGATTTTTGTGAGTGAGAGGAAGCAGAATTATTTGAATTACTTAGGATTTGTATACTTATTATGGGCTACATATTTATGTTAATTAAACATACACACACCAATATGCTTGTGCACACACTATCGCCAGTGACAACAGTGACCCTACCTGACTTGAGCCCATGCATAACCATGCCACCATATTTCTTTTAAAATTTTGACTCGACTATGGAAATTTTAGAATCAAATGGAGCCATTGTAAATAATTTTGAAGTAAAGTGTGCACATTCTCTCCAATTATTCATTTTCTTGAGAAATTCTTATCACCTAATTTTCTTTTTTTTATATATGCTTTGACACAGACTTTTAAAGTTACAATAAGTAAGAAATTGAAGTGCATTTAAAATGGAGAACAATATTTTAGGTAATAGAATAAGTTTTTTTTTTACATACATTACAAAATAATAGCTAGATTGAATTCATTTGGGAGGGATAAAAGTTATGAGGTCAAATTAATGAAGTTATAAACTCAATAGAACTGCTTGAGCTAAAATATTTATGACTTTCAACTATAAAATCTAACACTGTCATCGTCGGTTCCAAGCTCGGATGTGAAAAGTGGAGGGTTGTGTTAGGCAGTCGGCAGCTGTCAGCATAACTTGTCGAAAAAAATCATGACATGAATCCTTTTAATCTTTGTGTAAGTGCTAAGGCGTCCCCTGGAAGCGATGGAAGCGACGCGTTGTATAGCCCTGACAAGTGTGCAAGGGCCGCTACACCGGCACCCGGGTGTAGTGTCAAATAAGCAAGGGTTCCCACATTACAGACGGATGCCGGTAAAGAAAGTAGTTCATAAAACTAATGAAATTAATATTAGGATAAGATCTTGGAATATAAGTACTCTCAATGGAAAGTTAATGGAATTAGTTGATATTAAGATTCATAAAAATATTAATATCTTATGTATCCAAGAAATTAAATTAGTTAGAGAAAAGGATAAGGAGATTGATAACAGGTTTTTAACTTTGGTATTCTGGTAAGAGTCGCACTAGAAATGGTGTAAGTGGTGTAATTATAGATAAGAGTTTAAAAGATAATGTTCGTGAAAGATAATGTTCTAAAAATTAATAGAGTTGGAGATAGAATTATAGCCCTTAAGATTATCATTGATACTAAAATTTGTAATATTATAAGTGTTTATGCTCCTTGAGTAGGTTTAGATATAGGGTCTAAAAATAAACTCTGGAATGACTTAAAAGACTTAATACAGTTGATACCTCTTGAAGAAATAATTTTTTATTGGGGGAGATTTAAATTTGGACTGTCCGTAGAGTGGTAGAAGATTTTAGAAATATTCATGGTGGCTACGGTTTTGGAGTGACTAATGAAGAAGGTAGAGCTATTTTAGATCTTCTTTAGCATATGATTTTGGTATTATTAATACTTTATTCAAGAAAAGAGATGAGCATCTTATTACTTATAATAATGGATCTAATATAACACAAATTAATTATTTTCTTTTGAGAAGAATAGATCGTCGAGATTGTAAAGATGTAAGGTCATTCAAAGTGAGGATTTAAGTACCCAACATTATTTATTAATTTTAGATTTGAAGATGAAAAGTTGTAAAATGAAGAATACAATGACTCATCATCGTAGAATTAGATGAGACAACTTAAAAAACATAAATAAAATTATTTTTATGAGTAAATTTCAAGGTTTCAAATTTTGGGATGTTTATGATGAAGCAAATGATATGTGGGATAAAGTAACAAACACTATTAAACAAGTAGCAAAAGATGTACTTGGAGAATAAAAAAAAAGTTTATTTAAATAAAAATAGTTGGTGACGGAATAATAATGTGCAATAAAAGATAAAAATATAAGAATTTATGTTATAAAAATTACTTTAAATTTAAAAGCTTAGAGAACTGGGAAAAATATCAAACGACTCGCATAGAGTTCAAAAGAAAAATATGTGACTCTAAAATTCTGCTTTTAATGATCTTTATAATAAATTAGATACGAATGAGGGTGAAAATATCCAAAGGAGGGTAAAAAATATATGTATAAACTAGTCAAATAAAGAGAAAAGAAAGGTAAAGATTTAACTTAATTAAAGTGTATTAAAGATGAAAATAAAAAAGCGTTAAAGATGAAAATCAAAAAGTGATTTTCTTAGATAAAGATATTCAACATAGGTGGGTGAGTTATTTTGATAAACTTTTTAATGAAGTTTTTGAGAATACGATCGACCTTAGTGATCTTAATATGGCTAATAATAACAAAACGTTCCATTTTTACCGTCACATTAGTAAAAACGAATTTGAGGAAGCTTTAAGGAAAACCAAGGGTGGAAAGTTTGTAGGACTTGATGATATCTCAATTGAATTATGGAAATGTTTTAGGAGATTTGTGAGTTTCTTGGCTTACTAGACTCTTTAATATTATTTTAAAAACTAAAAAGATGCCCGAGGAGTGGAGGAAGAGTATTTTGGTCCCCATTTTTAAGAATAAAGGGGATGCACAGGAGTGTGCAAATTATTGAGGAATTAGGTTGATGTGTCATACTTTAAAATTATGGGAGAGGATTATTGAACATAGTTTAAGAAGTATTACAAAGATTTCTTATAATCAAATTAGATTTATGTCAGGAATGTCTGTTATGGAAGCTATATATTTATTGAAAATTTTGAAATAATAAGAAAAATCTACATTTGATTTTATTAATTTAGAAAAACCTTATGATAAGGTTCCAAGAGAAATTCTTTGGAGAGTTATTGAGTAGAAAGGTTTTGATTTACCATTATTTCCAAACAAGAAGAGAGAGTAAGGAAATCACATCACAAAGCAAGAAGAAAACACAACAGAAATCTTCATTTCATCAAAGCAAATCCACTAGATAAGTGTTTACAAAACTATAAGATAATGAAGAACACATACTTAGCTTTTTACCTTTGAAAGAAAGAAGAAAATCTCTCCAACAAAGTCTCCCGCCGATCCATGCAATGCTAGAACATCTCCTTACAAATTCTCTCAAAATCTCCTCTCTAATCTCTCCAAATGGGTAGAAATCTACATTTCTACTCCTATTCTAAAAACCCTAAACTTTCTCCACACTTTTCCTAACATTATTCTCTCATATATCCCTCTTTTTCTAACCTAAATTTGTTCTTTTAAAGTGTAGGGATGAAGTTTGAAGAGTTGCCACAAGAACCCTTTCAAAAAACATCCAAATACGTTGAATTTCGGCCCATAACCGCCAAAAGTCGGTCCATAGTCGTCCCGGG